TTATAGTAAAAAGTCGTTTTACATAATTTGTTAAAAAACGAATTCAAATGACCGTCAAATAAATAAAACAAAATAAAAATTTTATTTGAAAAAAATAAGTGAAAATGTTGTGAATATTTAAGAAAAAAATTAAAAAAAAAATTGCATAAAACACGCCTCATTATCGGAAACGCCGCGGCGTAAGCGTTGGAAGCTTATCACAGAACGATTTTACGCCCCATTGCTTGCAACAAATAAAAAATATATATGTTTAATTAAATAAATTTTAATTCTTCGATTTGACTTAATTAAAATTAAAATTAGTTTAATATAAAAGGCAAATGTTATTTCGGTTGTTTGACTTTAAATTGTTCGAATTAGCAAAATAGTTTGAAAACAAATCTTGTCGTGTTGAGTCTGTGCTTCAAAAAACGTTAAAATTTATTAAAAATAAATAATTTTGAAAAATAAATAAATCTCGCAAAGTGAAACGAAAGTAAATAATAATAAACAAATAAAATAAATTACATGAAACTGTAATGAAATCCTATGTCAACCAAGCTTATTTACCAGAAGAAATGGAGCCAAATGTTGTTTACTACACAGCTGGAGTTAATAGTGGTGTTAAATTTTCTATGTAAATATTATATATATCTTTTATAAAATTTTATTAATAATTTAAGAAATTTAAAAAATATGGTGTGTATTTTTTTTAATAAATAATGTAAAATTAAATTTATATATAAAATAAAAAAAGAATAAAAACAATTAAATTATGTTCCACAATGTGTCAAACTGTTATGCGTGCCATCTACTGTTGGATTACAACTAAACAATTAAATCATGTTCCACAATGTATCAAACTGCTATGCGTGCCATCTATGGTTGGATTGCAACAAAAACAATTAAACTATATTTCACAATGTGTTAAACTGTTAAGCGTGCCATCTATTATTGAGTTGCAATTTAACTTAACTTCACATTTCGGATTGTGTATTGACACTGCTAATACGAAATGTGTGCAGTATTGTCAGTATAAAAATTTTTAGTTGATAATTATTAGCTGTGATTAGACAATTGATAATTTTTCGTATTGATACGAATAATTTTTATTTACTGTTTTTTTTATTTTTCACTTTACTTTTTATTTATTTATTTAATTATTTTTATTATCATTATATTATTTTATTATTTGTTTTTTAAAGTTTAATTAGTTTTGCCGAAAAAGCTACGATTTCTTGTAATGACAAGGAATCTATATTTTATTAAAATTTAGAGGGTTTCGAATAGCAAAAAAGAAAGGACAAATACAAAAATTTAGTTAATTTATTGAAATTTGGCTGATCATCAGTGGTCTTAGGAAATAAACGAATTTTATTTAATTAGTTTATAGTTCGTATTTAATTTGTTTGGACTGCAAGTGCCACACTTAGAACTTGTGCTTGTCAAATTAGAATTTTAGTTATTTATTTTATTTATTTATTTACTTAATTTTATTTAATTACTGTTTTATCGTATAATACATATGTACCAATTTATAGATTTATTTATATATATATATATATATATATATATATATATATATATATATGTAGTTGTTAAAGCAACTACAAGAAAAGAAAATATGTCACTTATATAGATTTATAATTCACATCATCTTTGATATTTGACTTCTATAAAATACTTAAAACAAATATAATTTAGCGTGTATATTCCTAAGATATTAGGTGATTTGATATAAAATTTGTTTTTGTGCATGGCTCACGTATGAGTCTTGTAACAAAGTTGCATTGAGTTTGCATTGAATGTAGAAGAAGAAAATCTGTTTGTTATTGTTAATTATGAAATAAAAAGAAATTACAATTAAAAAGAAATTACAATTAAAAAGAAATTACAATTAACAAAAAAAAAAACTAGTTACCCTGATATTCACCTTGGTTATTGCAGCATTAATAAATATTTTCATTTAAATAAATTTTTTCTGTTATTTATTATATATAGGTTAAATATTTTAAAATATACTATTACTAATAAAATTGAAATTTGAAAAATTCTTAAATATATGGTCCATGAATAACGGATAATTACGAGAAGGACAATTTAGAAAAAATTTGTGGATTGTGAATATATTAATTTACTAAAATTTTAATTAGTGCTGTAATAAATCAGCTTACACATTAAGTCCGTAAAAATATTTCATATTGTGATAGCCTTGATAAGGGTTAGAGTTTCTTTGCCTAGACTGCCTAGACGGTTCTGGACCTATCATCATTAAAGCCGCTCCTCTTCTTGCGAGTTTGTCTGCCACCTCATTGTCTTGGATTCCAGCTTGTCCCGAAATCTGTATAAAGTGCACCTGATTCAGGTATGTTCAGCTTGTCAATGCACTGCAATACCAGTTTGGATGTCACCTTGTAAGATAGGAGTGACTTTATAGCATTCATTTAGTGGATTAATATATCTACAATCACAATACACCTGTTAAAAATTCAACATTTTTACTCAATTGTCTTTCTCGTAATAATCCATTATTCCTGTATATTTTAATATATTTAACATAATACTTAATTAAAAAATGTTAATAAAAACAAAATTTGTATAATTAAAAATATTTATTAATGCCACAGTCACGGTTGCCACTTGTAAATTTTTTTCTGTACCAAAATTGGTTTAAAAAGGTACTAAAACATTTTTACAGAAATGTAAAAAAAGGTCCAAAATTTTTCTATTGTCTTTTTATAAGAAAATACAATTTATATAAAATGTACAAAAAGTATAAAACAATACAATATCACAATAAAGTTGAGTCGCCGAAAATGTACCATTTTTTGAACATGAGTACCAGAGTACCAAACGGAAAAAAAAGTACCAATTTTGGTACTAAAGTACCATAAGTGGCAACCGTGGCCACAGTAACTAGCAGTTTCATTATTTTTTAATTATAATTATTTTTATATTATAATTAACAATAAGATTAACAAATAATATTGACTAATGAAGTTACGGTTTCCCCATCTTCTATGCAAATCTATTGCAGGACTCATCCGTGAGCCACGTTCAAAGACAAATTTTATATTAAATCATCCTATATTTTGAAAAGAATCATATTTAACCAAGTTTGTTTCAAGATCTTTATAGAAATGAAAAATCAAAGATAATGCGAATTATAAATATATATAATTTACACATTTCCTTCATATTGTTTTAATTAAGAATTAAGTGTAAAAAACTGCGTTTCTAATATCTTAAATATTAAATTTTACATAACATAATATTAATTTTTAATGCATTTGCAGTTCAACTATCAAAAATTTAATTATATTCATTCAGCAGGATTCCTATTTTTTGGAGCACTACGATTTGATAACGAATTTGTGTAAAGTAGTGTATTCTGGGAAACTCTACAACGCCATAAGCCGATATGTCTTGGTTTCCAAGATAAAGTTGTTTACTTTTTATTCACTAATAATAATTACGCACCATCTAACTCCAATTGGTATATAAAATTTATATATTGATAATATTAAATAACTGATAACAACAAAGAGACGCGGCAGATGCAGTGGAAAAATTCTCAAAATAGTGAAAAAACTTGCTCAGAATTAAATACTTTACTCAAATTCTTTGTTAAATCGGATGTTCAATAGATAGCAATAGTGCCATTAATTGAATCTGGTCATGTCCAACACATATAACTATATCTATTTAATTGTAAATATATAAAAATGATCTTTCACTATTAGGATGAGATATTAGAAATATCTCATCGATTTCAATTCATTAGGAAATATTATTGGAAGTGAGAAAAAAATTATTATAATTAATTTTCATTATTAATATTATTTTATTTACATAATATATACATTTTAAGTCATTATATCTGTTCTCAATTTGCAATTTAATTCCTTTTCACTTTTAAAAATATTTTATTTACCTAATGCATATATTTTAAGTTATTATATCTATTCGGAATTTTTATTCGGAATTTAATTACTTTTTATTGTTAAAAATATTTTATTAACATTATATATAAATTTTAAGTTATTATATTTGTTTTTTATTTGGAATACATATACTTTTTATTATTAAAAATATTTCATTTACATAATTTATAAGTTTTAAGTTATTATATTTGTTTTTTATTCGGAATACATTATTATTAAAAATATTATTATATATTATTATTAAAAATATTTCATTTACATAATTTATAAGTTTTAAGTTATGACATCTGTTTTTTATTTTTTATTACTAATTATTTTTCATTATTAAAAATATTTTATTTACATAATATATATATTTCAACTTCTTATATTTGTTTTTTATTTGGAATGTAATGACTTTTGATTATTAAAAAAATTTCATTTACATAATATACAAATTTTATGTTATTATATATGTTTTTTATTTGAAATTTAATTACTTTTTACTATTAATAATATTCTATTAACATAATATATAAATCTTAAGTTATTATATCGGTTTTTTATGTAATTATGTACTTTTTGTAATATGTACATGTAATTACTTTTTATTATTAAAAGTATTTCATTTACTTTATTTACATAAGTTTAAAGATATTATTTCTGTTCTTTATTGAAATTTAATTATTTTTTATTATTAAAAATATTTCATTTCCATAATGTATAAATTTTAAGCTATTATATTTGTTCTTTATATGAAATTACTTTTTATTATTAAAATTATTTCTTTTACATAACATATAAATTTTACATTATTATGTCTGCTCTTTATTTGGATATTTATATTTTATTCAAACAAAAACAATACAGCGGTAAATAGTATACATAATATATATAAATAAATTTAATAATTAACATAAATATTATGCTTTGTTTGAGTAGCGTTCATTGCACTTGACTATTGTCATACGCACCACATTCTTTCCCCATACATTTCTTACCCTGTATCAGTCATATGTTCGCACAGTGTTCTATTTCATTCGTTCCTCTTGAATTTTTCATACATAACAGAATGTCAAATGTATTTCTCTTTACATTTAAGTTTGTCTATTGTAACGTTGAAGTTCGGCGCGGAAAGATATTTTTTATTGAGAAAACTGGTTATTTAAAGTGTAAAGTTATTTAATCTTGAAATAAGTGAAATATTCCAAACAAATTAACTGAATCAATTTGAAACAAACAACGAATCTGTTTACTAATCTAAGTTAAAGTTGAAGTTAACACACATTAAAAGAATTTACTTTTGATGAAAATATTGATTTTTCAATTTTCTTGCATCAATTAAAAGAAAATTTTTAAGTTATTATATAAATTAAAGATAAAGCGTCAATAAGATTTCATATAACTTAAAGAATAAAAGTAAAGTTTTGTACTAATTGCATTTTTCTTTGAAGAGGTAAGTTTTACGCCTTCCCTCCTACCCACACTTGAGCGTATATACATTATATGATTTTCCTCAATTTGGGTTGAAAAAAAAATGATTAAATTTAGTGTATAATTAGCTTAAGATTCTTGCCATCAAACTCATAATAACATCACATCAATTTATGATAATAAAACTTTTTTCTTTTAAATCATTTATATAAGTTTTGTTTTATTTTTATTTAATTTTTTTTTTTGTTATTAATTTTATTTGCTTTTTGCATTGTAGTTTTTGTCCTTATCTTGATATGTATGTAAAAATTCCGTTTGTTTGGGAACAAAAAAAAAACAAAAAATTTAAAAATTGGTATTGTTGTAGTTACTTCACTTAAAATGTGTTTATTCTAATTTGTTTTTTTTTATTTTTTATTTTTTTATTTTTTTGTTTTTTTGTTTTTAGTTATTTTCATTATTTTTTGTTGTAAAATTCAATCGTCATTACGCACTGCATAATGTTTGTCATTGCCGTTAGCCAGCATAAATGTGTGTGTGAAAAACAAGTGAATTGAATGCTTCCTGTGCTACTTCTATTTTCTATTTTTGGAGCAGTTACATTCTTAATTTAGCAATTTTGTCACTTTTTCCTTAATTTATTTGGTGCTATTAAATAGAAACAAAGAAACAAATTCTTTTTTAAAAAAAATTTGTATTGAATTAATTATTTATTTATGTGCCTTGCGTAAAAAACAACTGTCAAGTGTGACGTCATTGTTTTTGCAATTCACTCAATCCATATAAGCCACAACCATTACGTATATATATATAGATTTCCCTTTTCACCTTATCCTATTTAGCAATTATGATTGCTCCACTTGCGCCATACACTTTCGCATAAGTCATCAACATTTGATGACTCTAACATTTCTGTTACAGTGAGTGACCTTTCCAAGTAATTTCTCTCTGTTAAACTAAAATATAATTTGCAATTCGAACACCAACAACGATACACAAGTCCCTTTTGTGCATTCGAATTGCAGCTTGTGGACTGACTTAATGTATGGTAACACCGCTCTCGCTAACGTGTAAATAAAACATTAAATTAATTCTTTTGTTGCTTTTATTAAACTGATACTTCAATTAATGTGAGTTGTAGTTTATATTACAAATGCAAAAGCAAAAATAAAATAAAATCAAAAAAAAAAAAAACAAAAATAAAAATAAAATAAATAATGAAAATAAAAATGATATTCTTTGCATATTGTTATCGCAGGTGTTCGAACTGTTGACCGTTTTAGGTCAGGGACTCTTGATAAAATGAATAGGCATTAAAAACAGTATTAAGCCAGTATTTAAATTGCATTTGTTAAGTGAGTTACTCATTGCGGTTTTAATTGCTTACTTGATTTCAAAAATGAGTTAAATATAGAAAAGAAAATCAATAAATAAAAAAAATATATATACATACTTTTCTATATTCCAAAATATTAAATAATATAACATAAAGATATAACAAAAATAAATTTTTGGTTCCCATTGCTATAAATAAAATGAATTCTTAAGTGCGACTCTTAGACGTCAATTTTTACATAAAAAACGTTACATGCATACACACATCACTGTAACAATAGCAATCGAACTCGTCACCCATCTATATATGTCTCCGCATTGTTATATGAAAGATGATGATGAAGGGTTTGCGACCCAATATTTTTCATTTTTATTGTTTTCTGCATATTTATGAGTGGAGCTGTGTGCTTTATATGACGGATGCTTATATATTAAAAATTCTGTTAAGGTTAAAAGGTAAGGTGGAGTCATCATGGTTAAGTTTAGGAAAAGTAATTGGCGTTTACATAACAAGTTTTAACAAAAACTTTGATAAAAACGCTTTAAAAATGTATAAGGAAAAGTCCAATCTTAATACTAAATGAAAAAGTTTTATTGTCTAAACAACTTATTTTAGTTCATATTGAGTTTAGCAGAAACTTTACGGGATTTTTGGGTATAACTAAACAATCAGTCGGACGGAGGATTAAGGGTTGAAGATCAACCTGTTCCGCCGAAATGAATATAATGACTATATTCATATAAATATTCATTAGTAAACATTTCATAAATAGAGCCCTGAAATTTTTTACGAAAACTGAGAGGCTTACCAACACTGTGTTATTGAATCTCAGAATGGTTATAGGCTCCTCGTGGAGGTATGCAGATGTGAAGTCAATTATTGCTTAGTCTGATGAAGTGATAAGCAATAATCCAGTCAAGGCGTAGAGAAGGGTTATGAAGAAATCTTGCAGTTAATAGAGAGTAAAACTGCTCAAATGCACTAACTCAACTAGCCTTAACATAATAATAAATGTTTAATATGACAAATATTATTATGAACTAATGAAAGCACTCTGAAGTAAATTTCTGACTGAATATACTGGATTGCTTTTTTTGACGTTGATTCATTAATATTTTGCTTGAGATCACACTTGATGATTTAACAGGATGAAAATTAGTATTCATTAGCTTTGTTTGATTTTATTTTATGATTGTAAAAATGCGTGTGTTAAAAAAAGAGCAAAAAAATATCTTTTGCATGTATTGTTTAATCATGTTCTCAACAACTACAAAAATATTTGAACACTTAAACTTTAAGAATTGACTAAATTTTATGAAAAATGTTATCAATCAGGGTATACGGTATGAAGTCAATTTTGCAAAGCTATATAAGAATTACTAAGTAAAAATATGAATAATGCCCCACCAAGGTATATATATATTGTGGGACGTTGGGACAGCGCACCGTCCTACAAATGGCTTCACTGAAGTGAAGGATTAGCCGAAGTAGATCAAGAAACGACTTGGGTCCTATAACATTTCTTCACTTGATCAATTCTGACCTCTTTTCTCTTAAATTTTTCCTATAATAATATAATTTGCAAGCAGTAAAAATTGATTTCAATTATTTCACCAAGCGGTAATAACTTATAATAAATGATGTCCTTGCTAAACAATCGGATACTTCTTTTATATTCAATCCTCGCTGTACGATTGTTTGTAGAGCTGCATCTTTCTTTACTTAAAAGTATTTTTCTAAAGTATTTTCGTATGTGATCCATTTTTCATCACATATAACGATTAATGTTACGTAGAATATATGATAACATATGTAGAGTATACTATTTTGAATTATATTTGGTGAAGTGTACACTCTTTATTTCACGATTTGATTCATAGATGAAAATCTCATCCGTTAAATCTTACTTAATGTAAGTGGTACCTCATACATAAAGCTTATTTTTATAACCAGATTTATGTAAATGATGTAAAACAGTGTTGTATTTGATCGGTACTTCCTTATATCTTTTCAAAATAAAAAATTCATAAATTCATTGATTTTATCGGTGATATGCCAAACAGAAAGGAAAGTAAATTAATTAATTATGGAAGACGCAAAACTTTTCACATGGTTGAGTTATATCCTAACTTTATTGTGGAATATTCTTATAATACTGGATTTTTTTTTGAAATTTCAGTCGTAATTTTTTATATAACTTTAACAAAAAACACCAATCTCAGGAAAATAGTCACCAATAATCAAATAATATGTTATCTGCACAATACAAAAAAAGAAGGATTTCCATATTTCACAAAGCGTTTTAAAGTTATTGTACTACCAGGTTAACAAACAGAAAAATGCCGAATAGTTTTTGCCCAGCCCAATATATATGATAAACTTTCTTTAAATTGTAATATTATAATATTTGCAATATTTATTAGAAAGCCAAAAAGTCAAAATGATTTATTTTTTATTTATATTTTTAAATAAAATTGTTTTATTTTTTATTCAACCCACATCATGTTTCAGATTTTGAGTTTTAATTATTTAATTACTTTAAAAAATTTATATTTTTTATTAATTTGTCATTTTTATTCAGTTTACAACATTAACAATTGAGTGTCTATGTGTTATTTCCTTGGTAGCTTTCATACGAGATGAGTATATGTAATATATTTATATATATTACATAAAATAATAAACTATCGAGGTAAACTAAAGAGTATCTTTTTAAATTTTTAGGTGATAAAAAAAGTTATCACTTCAAACAGTTTTTAATTATTTTTTGTGTGTATTTGTACAGATACAAATACGATAAGAAACAAATACTTTTTTATTAATTTATGGAAATTTAGCTATAATAAATTAATTGAAAATTATTGTTGTTGTTTCTTTATTACAATTCGAACCCTTCTAACTTATAAATAGTTTCTTTTTTCAAAAATTTTTTTGAAATATATAAAGTTTTTCAAAAGTTGTCCATCTAAATAGTGGATTGCGTTAAGGACTTTTAAGTATCTTTGAAAACAAAAAATAATCAACAAATGTCAGTTTTAATGATCTCAAGAATATAGGTGATGGTAAATAAATTCGAAATGAAATTTTTAAATTTTACGAATATCAGGTGTAAACATTTATAAAAACTTTTTATTAATAAAATAAAAAATATTTTATTGGTGAAACCGATTTACTTTATTCAAAAAAGAATAAGTGGTTTAGGGTATTGCCAGGGATGCCCTTCAGATTCTCTGTATATCCTTCCATAGTCATGTTTTAAAAAAGCTTAAATTCGCACTGTAGATACGGGAAGTACTTAATAAGTTATATGCGATTTTTGGTGAATAAATCTGTCACAAATGTCGATCCATGAGGTGTCCTATAAGCTTAACTGCCATGAATGAACTGCTTCCAGATAATATCAAATTAAAAAATTGTATTTATTTTCACTTTATTTTAACAAGATTTTTTATGTTTTGGTTTGTCTGGTCTCTTCTGTTTGAAAGTTTGGAGTCTGGTATTTTGATTATATTAAAAACACTACGTTTCATTTTCAGGCACTTTTTAAGAAATTTATTCTTTTTAATAAAATCTATTAATCTAAATTTAATTTAATCTAGAATTTAATTTTTGAATCTAAGTTAATTTACAATTTTTGATGTTTTCAATATATTTAATTTCAATTCCAATGATTTTAAGTAAGATAA